GTGGTAAACACGAGGTTTTAACTTTTTATCTTGTGGTGATGATAGGTTCGCCTCTCCCCACTTTTCCCTCCTTTGTTCATCAGCTTTCCCGTTTGGGGACCTGCTTGCTTGTTAGTACTAGTTTCCCTGGGCTCTTGTCACTGAAGCTTTCTCTCCCAGCACAGGTGGCAGCTAGCCATCTACCTCTTATTTCAGGTTACCAAGACGACTCGTTTGCGGGGAGGGAGCTAACTATTGCATTTGTATCTTTCTGAACATTTTAACTTAGACTAGGAATAGGTATGCCCTGATTGTTTTTAACGTCGGACTTATAGAATTCTAATTTTAAAAGTTCATAAGGATTTATTGGTTTGTCGTGTCTGCACGGATCCAGATATGCGTAACTCTTAAAACTGAAAACTTTAAAATAAGATCCACAGCTGTATTGCTGAGACATTGCAGAAGAGCTTGCTCTTCGAGTTCTGGCTGTACAGTTGTCATTGTTTAAATCAAGTGCAAAAGAGGTTATTCCTGTTTATTTAGTGTAATAACTGTTTACAGTTAAAACTTTAAAGACTCATAAAAGTAGGTCTGCTGTATTTTAAAGATCTCATCATTCTTGTGGGAGAGACACAACACTGACTAGGAAAGGCAACAGATTGCTTCTGTCATATCGCTTTGCTGTTTTGGAGTGTACTTAAAGGATTATGATTGATAAGGCTGTCTTTCCAGAGAATGTTGACACAGGTGTGCATCGTTATCTTAATTAAGATCCTGAGAAAATGTTGTCTATAAAATGGTGACATAAGAAGGGCGGCCTATTTTTGTACAGTTTTGCTTTTGGAGAATTTAATTGCACTTGAAACCTGTCTTTGAGCTTCCAGATTTTGTGAGCACTTTGGCAACAGAAGTTGTAGAGAGAAATGATAGTTTAATGTTAGGTGTTCTGGCATGTCCTAATACTACTTGTGGCTTTTTGGCAATGCCTTTGTCGGCTTTCTTTGTGCTCTTTGTGGAATAATGGTTACTAATTTAGAAAGAAAAGCATAAATAGAGCAGTATATTAAACAGGTTTATTAGTGTTCAGAATAAATCTGCAGAGGAAGGCATGCTTGATGTGCAGAAACAGGAATATAATAAAAAAGGTAAATATATTACAAATTTTCGCCCCTCCATTTTTTGGAAAACAGTCTCCTAGAATGTTTTAATGATCTAAAACAATTTCTTTTTTCATATCATCAGATACTTAGCTACATTGCTTATGGAATGTCTTGTTTTTTATTTCCAGAAATAGAAAAAAAGACTGTTTTCTTTCTTCCAAAATATTGTTCTGCAAATTTGAATTGATGAGCAAGTGAATAGTGCATTTAGCCTCTATTAGATTAAGGATATGAATCATAACCTGGATGACCACTTAATTAATATTACTGTCCTTGGCTTCAAATCTCTGAATGCAAAAACAATAGCAAGACGGATACTGTTGATCATATTACACTTGGCTTACCCAGCACCTAATACCCTTTAACATAAGTATTGCATTAAGAGTCCCCCGCCCCCCGCCCCCTTTGTAGATCATGATTTCCTGGAAGCTGGCTGTCCATCAGTCTGTATGTAAGATGTGTGACTGTTTTTCTTTAATATTAAAACTCATTGTAGAAAGAGGAAATGAAAGTGGAGGTGGCCATAGGCATATGATCGGAGAAGCCAGGTGTAGAGTCACAGCTCATTCGTGACTCCAAGCATAATTAGCTGGCTAGAATTACACGGTAAACTCAAATCAAAGACTTATTTAGATTTGTTTGTTGAAACTAAAACAAGAGCAATAATTTTGAGATAAGTGCTTTACTGATCCCCCAACTCCCCCATCAGAATTTTTTTTCTGACAGCTAAGATCAGCTTCTCCATGCTATTATCCATGTATTATTTTCAAATTTGATGTGCTGTGTTAAAAGAAATAAAGTAGCAATGTGAACTAATAACCTATCATGTATTTTAACGACTCACACTAATAATTGATATATTTTTGCATTATAGAAATCTTAGAAAAATTTTAAATGTTCTTCAGTCGATAACGTGCAAGTAAATGAAATCATGTAACCTCGAGTGAATTACAGATTATGAAAACAGTATCGGTCTGGAATAATGTTTTAACTGAGATAGCACAGCCCGTTTTGTGGTAATATTGCAATACCTTTGTATATTTCCCTTCAGTTTCGACATTGTACTGGATTCTGGATTTCTGACATCTTTTTGGTATAATTGTTACCTGTTTTATAGAGGATAATTGTTCTTAATAGAATAGCAGCTGATGCAACTCTAAGAAGATGTAAAATCTTGGAATTATTTTTTCTTGCTCGGTAATGACTGGTTTGCTTTTATAGCACTACTGTGAAGTGTGATTCCTATGACTTATTTCTGCATAAATCTGCAATATTTTTATAGCTCGAGTATACCTGAGCACCAGTTTAGCTTGGCAAATTAACTTAGATGCTTCAAAATTGAAAACCAGTATGTCGTAATGTAGTTTGAGTTTAAGTCTTTATTAGTGAGGATGCACCTAACATTTGTTCAGGAGAAGAGAATATCATTTTCTCCTGCAGTTGTCATTCATGTAATCCATTTTTCTAGCCTTTTCTCAGGCTAATTATATTTCATATCTTGATACAACTCTTTTTATTTATTTATTTATTTTATTTTTTGCCATAATATGGAGTGATACCTTGGAGAAAATTAGATTAGATATTCATATCTAATATCCCAAAAGTATTTAACTGGCCTTCTGTGTTTCCTTAAACAGAATCATTTCCATTTTCTGTGCAGGTGATAAGTATGATGCTTCTGTAACAGATTCGGATATTTTCAGCTCAGTTGACTTCTGAACTATGGGGTTCCTCCAGATGTTGACTGAACTTTGTCCTTGCGCATCGCCAGGCTCATCGGCAAGTGAGTGTCTGCACAGTGTGCCTGTGTGTGGAGTGAACCTCAAATAGCATCGCTGTTCGTTTCTCCAAAGTATTTATATTGATAACAGGGACTAAGCACAGAATGTAGAGAATGTCATTTGGAGCTTTTGGTTATTAAAATTTTACTAATGCATTAAACAAAGCCTCAGTAAATGGAAAAATTTTTGATACATGGAAATACCCTGAATAAGTTATTTTTAATGATATCACTGGATAGTGAAATTTATAAACTTGATGCTTTTCATAAAAATTAAGACTAAGGTTATGATCTTTTCTAGAAATTGAATTGTTATTTAAAGGAAATAATGTGTTTATACCAACTTACAGTTTTTGGTTATTTTCATTACCCGGTTCTTTTTAGAATAAATTTAGTGGGAGTACCACGTCCAGTCACGAGTACTAAACTCTGTTAATGACAAAGAAGACACAGTTGTGTGTACAGCTTGTCATTTCTCATCAAAATTGGGGCTCCTGATTATAAGCAGGTGAGAGCAGCTATGAGAAAAAATTATCTTGCGGAATATTTCTGTTGTGTAGTGGGGAGAGCAAGGAGCTGGATTTCATGTTAGAGAATATTTTGTTAAGTAAAAAAAGGTGGTTCTGTGACCAAAAAACAGCTAATTTTACAGAAGGCAGTGGAGTCTGAAATAGAAGAAATGCTTCTCTGTGAATACTTCGAAAGGCATTAAAGTGAATCTTAAGTATGAAGTACATAATTGTTCTTAAATAGCATACTTGTGTTCCCCTATCACTGATGATGTCTTATGGAGGTGGGCTTTTGTGTGTGTGACCAAGAGTGGAAGCATACAGTGAGTTAGAAAATACGTAACACAAACACAAAGAAAATGTTAAGCAGCGAGCAATCTGATTTCTCTTTGTTTGCCTTTAAGGTTAGTTTTTTTTTTTTTTTAACCACATATAAAGTTATTGAATTTAAAAGATAAGAGGATTGGTTTTTTGTTTTTTTTGTTATTGTTTTTTTTGCTCTTGAAGGTAAATCTAAGAAAAATCTAAACATATATGTGAATTGGTTGAGTTTTATATCTGTTGTCAGCCAAAATTTATACTTAAGATTTATATGTCATGTATATTCATGGTATTCAAATGTATTAAAACTCATACCCCTTTTATATAAAATAAGTACGGGGGGGTGGGAGGGTCCCCACTCTTTTGAGAATATGAAGAAAACATGTCCTTTCAGCAGTAATAGGTTATGCTTGATTAATTGAGAAGGTTGTACTAAATGTTCTCTAGTGGAAATAGCCAGAGTGTGCTCTTTGAGAAATGTATCATTCAGGAATAAAATCAATTGAAGTATCGGTAATTAAATTGTAATTCCACGAAGGAAGGAAGTGATAGGAAAGATGAAGCTAACTATTGCTGTTTTTCTTTTTAAGACTCTACAGTTCATAATGGAGCTACTGTACTGGCTATTGGAAGGAGGAGATTCCGAAGATAGGGAGGTAATATTATCTCTTTTAAAAGAATACTTTCCTCTGTAATCCTAAGCCTTTATTACATATAAGAACTTTATCTAGTAGACAGCAATTTCTTTACATTTGAGATATGAAAATGATCTGATTTCTCTGTGCTAAGGTTTTGAGCTGCTCCTCTTAGAGCTATGGGTTGTGTTTTGGAGAGCTGAGAAATCTCATCTAGGCATACTCAGCACCCTTAAAATAGCGTCTTTCTGAGAATTCGATCTGTGATGGTTGCCTGCACAGTTCTAGTAGATGTCATTTCAGTTTGTGGTTGATGTGCGTGCGTTTAGCAGGTTGCTGAGCCGTCCTCATTTATCTCCCAGTCTTTGTTACCTCCTCTGGGGGAATGCTCTCTTCTGCAGGCCGATTTATTGCCAGCCACAACCAAACTCCGAGTGGGAGACGTGGTGGTTGACAACTGGTTCCAGAGCTCTGCCAGGGAGTCAGCCGGGCCCAGCCCCTGCTGCGCTGGTGCACCGCAGGCCAGGAGCTCACACACACGGGTTCTGTTCCTCGTTCACAGCTTTAAGTCCCTTTCCATTTTTCGTGTAATCCTAGGCTACGGGTAATGCTTTCCTTTTCTTCTCATTAGGTTGGCTTACTGCTCACTTTGCAGCTGTCGCAGGGATTCAGATGGAGTGGAGGACTCCGTATTATTCTGGATCTCTTTGGTAATTTCTTCACATGCTGTTTCATTTTCAAAAACGTAATGTTGGTGTTAAAAGGATGGATCTAAGAGTCTCGAAGAATAAAAATGATATTTATTTTGTACCAATAAGAAAAGCTGTCTTCTAAAGCTAGGTCGCAACATTGAATATGCAGGTTACATTCAAAATGTAAACCTCATAAAAGACTAGTTACTACATCTAAGAATGTTTGTTTATGCAGGCTTGATTGTATAATGGCATTTATGTCTTTTTTTTTTTTCCTTTTTAAGAAAAATCATAGACTTTTCTAGTCACCAAAACTATCTACTCCCTGAACTCTATCTGTGGAGGGATATTAGTAGAAAAATAAAGGGCTTCGTGACGTCTAATTATATCATTAGGAAATTGGTAAGCAATGTGATAAAATTAATTTCTTCTATTAGAGGAGCTAGTATGCATTTAAAAACAAAAATCTTCAGGAAAAGACTCTTTAATCTTTCAATCAAGTGATGTGGTTAACACAACAGGAAGGGGAAATAATACCAATCTCAGATTCTTTGATTCATGCCTAGGTGGAGGTTGTAAACAGCTGAGGAAACCATTAAAATGTAGCCTAGGAAGAAAAACGGTGGTATCAAAGTGATTACTTGAAAAGCAGTTTACGTTTGCAGAACAATTCAATATTATGACCTTGACCAACTTTTACACTTCATATACTTGGGTTAGTACTCCGGCTTTTAAAACATCGCTCTATGATGTAGCGTATGTATGGAATGCAAGGCTATTTTTGAATTGACTAATAGGTCTTACTGGTCATCTTAAAATATGCTATAATATTACAAAGTTGAAATTTAATATTCATTAATAGAAGGAAAATATAAAATTTAATATCTGGGCAACTGAGACCTCTAGACCTACTTTAAAAGTATAATCTTGACATCTCTGACACTATTTTTTGTCTTTGTTATATAGATCGAATTATGGGCATTCCACAATCCAGATGTCTCATTTATTAACTCCAAATTTTATTCCCTATAATAGACTTTTAAAACAATAGGTAGACATGCGTTAGAGAGTCAAATTTTGAGTCATATGCTAATTTATTAAGCATTAGTACCTAGAAAAGCAGCCCTGATGAATTTAGAACTCTGACAGGGGTTAGGTAGAAGAGTTTTCAGCTGGATTTTTCTAATACAGCAGCCATTTAAATTAAATGTTTGTTAACATAATAGTGATGGCATTTCTCCTCCTCCTCCTTGTGGTTTTGTCCAACTAGACGTTACAGTGGCAGTTGCACTGACTGTTAAGTGTTTAAATGATGACACCATTATGTGAAGTGATTTTGAAATGAGAGATTCCAGCCAAGAATTACATCTGCTCCCATCTCCTTCACATCATACTCTCTGGCAGTACAGATTATGATTGATTTGTTTGTGACAGATTGCAGGAAACAGTCATTGATTTTTCAATATTTTACCTTAAAATTATTTACAGTTGTAACCATGGGGAGGTATTTCCATGGGCTGTCAGCCCCTGAAAGACTAGGATAATATTCCCTGCTCTCTGACAAGACAAATTACCTGTAATGAGTGCAGTAGCTGAAGGGTATACTTTTATTTTAAAATATGTCAATAACCCCAGTGACTAAACGAATATTGATTTAGCATAATGAAGCCTGAGTAATGTGAAAATGAGCTTTTTCAAGGAGCATGGTAAAGACTTTCTTTTTAGCTGGTTCTAAGAAGCTTTTCATTCTTTTCAACTAGCTAGTGGAGATAAGGAGTTTTATATGCAAACCATCAGGAATGATAGTGTCGTTTGTGATAACCAGGGTCCAAATATTTTGCCCTTGTTTTTATCGATTCTTTTTCAGATTTTATTTGGAGTCTTACTTTTAGCCATAGCATAGCTATTGATTTACTTGATCTTATCTTTAACTTACTTAATATTTTTACAATTTCAACATGTTTTGCATTAGAATTTGCGGTAATGAATATTAAAATATAACTATATATACAGTCATTTGTAGGTGACATAATAATTATCCTAAGACATTTCAAATGGGATATTGTAGTATTTAATGTGCCGTATTTTATGGTAGAATAATTCCCAGTCCCTGGACATCAGATTGCTTTCAGTGGGAATGAAGATTAATTTACTTAAGTCCTGATATTGTAGGCATCAGTGCGTGTTTTCATTTTTGTCAGACTTCTACCCCCTCTTTAAATGTAATTCTCACCTTTTTATGGATTAAGATCTCAATACATAATAAGGTCTTTCAAACGAATGATAGCAGAGACGGATATAGCTTTATTTTATAGTCCATCAAGGAGCCTGAAGATTTTATGCCCGAATAAGTATCTCCATATCTCACTCGGTGAGGGGAAAATAGTAATATATAGAAGAAAAGTAAGTGTTTAAACAAGATGTCAGACTGATATTTCATGGGAACCTAACATATTTTATGATAACTAATAGTGATAAAATCTTATTAAAAGCGAGAGGTAAAATCCCTTTAGAAATTAAAAATTAGTTATGATTTAATGGAAATTCAAATGGCTCTTTGTGAGTCCTAGTCCTCTTGTAGCATGGCATTGGAAATGTTGCAATGTAAACATATCTTTTAATGGAAAAAGGACTAGACTCTAGAACAAAAAATTATTTTATTTATTTTTCCCAGGTATTTGTCTGGGACACCGACAGTCTCTGTCACTCATCTTAGTGTGTCTTGCAACAAACTAGATGCTTTATAAAATACTCGTCCCATGGTTTCAGATGGTATAAGATTTTATTTTTCCACCACCCCTTCCCCCAAATTCTTTCCCTTTTTCTATTAAAAGGACTTTTGGAGATAGAAATGTGAGGGATGTACCATCATTATGTATAAACCTGGTAGTCCAAATTCTTCAACGATTAATTTGGTTTATGGTTTTTTAAGTCGGTGCAGTAGTCATAGAATGTATCTATGGATAAAGGCATATCTAGAGATATGCCTTCCAGGAAAAAACATGGATCTAGAGTTTTTGATAGTTATTTTTAAATAAAGCATATTTTCTTCAGGTAAATCCATGCAAGGAAAACATCTATATGTAGTTTATTTTGGAGTAGAATAACAAATGTATTACGGTCAGAACTTTTGACCCCATTATTTAGTTTAAACCTGTATGTTCATTTTACAGTACCTGTGTAGAACTTTTTGTGAATTATATCTACTAAATATTTGATAAAGTAAAACTTTTTCTGGAGAAATTCTCTTTTGGATATTATGCCCTTCTCCATCTCTTTTCTCTCCTTGAAAAAAACATAACTTGCCCTTGTTCTCCTTTAGGGAAAATCTTTATGCAATGTTTTTAAATTATGCAAGTCATTGCCTGGGGTTGGTTAAAACATTTAGTTTTCGAAAAGGTGAAAATACCCTGGTTTTAAAAATTTTTCATGGATTTGTATCTATTAAGATAAACAGTTTGCTTTGCTACAGTACATTACCAATCTACTTATTTTTTTTTTCTTCCAGAATTCATTTTACTGTGTTTGCTCTGACGCTCTAGGATAACTTAATATAGGAACAAATTAGCATATAATTCTATTTCCCATGTGACCTCACCAGTTGCAGAATTGTAGTACTACTTTTAGGGGGCAGTTTGATAGTTTATGTAGACTGTAGCATTGTTTGCAAATGTTCAGTGCATCCTGGCTCAGGGGTTGTCAAATGTGTTTAAAAGTAAACAAGAAATACTCACCCCTGCTACAAAGTTATTGAAATGCCTCCTAAAGGTAGCATTTTTAATTAGTGTACGTAATCGTTTAGTGATTTGTCTTCTCCCGAGCATAAGTTAAGTGCATGGCAAAGTTAAGTGCAGTTGGTGGAGTGTAAGATATTAGGGATCGATGGTGACAGTGATCATGACAACTAAATGGATTTTTTTTTCTTTCAGATTCAACTGTCGGTCTTTGAAATTTCCTGGGGTCTGTTCAATCTAGTTGCAAAGGACATGGAAAAATCAAGTGCTCACGTGGTTTAAATGTTTTGGATGTTCCTATTTATAGACTATAGTATTTTTCTAATTAAAATCCTCAGTTGTCATTCTGAAGAAGGTTTGCGCTCCTTGATCACCAGTTTTACTTGAAATGCTTAGTATTGTAGAGTATCAGCAAACATTTTCTGTTTTAATCAAAGTTTAGAAGAAAATCAACTTTATATGTTGACTTTTTTTCTAAAATGCCTTTATTGGGTTGAATGAATGTTTATACCTGAAAAAGCGGCCTCAAAAAAATGCCTTTCTCCATTATAGTAGTTCTTTTGGCAATCCATTGTCGTTAGAGTAGGTTTAAAATTTCTTTCTAATGTGACCTTATTATGTTTTGGGGAGAAAAAAGACTTGATACATGTCCATATATATTTTAATTATATTAGTCCCTCTGGAATAGAACATTTTCTCCTCAACAAATCTATTAGCTCAACTCATGTACAAGAAACAGTTGCCTTGACTGGCAGGGCGTTTGCTATGTGTTTGAACATTTGATTTATGTAAAGAAGGTTGACATGCAGTTTTCACAGAGTTCTTACATTTGAGGAGACTGAATAATAATGACTTGCCCTGCCATTGCGAAACTCCTTGTTGTGGCCTTCGTGGTGACATAGGAAAACAGGATTCCTGTGGCAGGCAGGCGTCCGGCCCCTGTGGTGTGAACACTGTGAAGGGGTGTGTCTGACAGGATGGCCCTTGGCCGGGGGTGGGGGGACCTGGGGAGATCCGCAGATGCCGATGCCACTCGTGGGAACTGCTGCAAGTAACCCAGTTAGTACTTCATCTGCTCCTGTAGTTTTTACAAGAATCAAAGTGCTGTGATGACTTCTTAAGCTCAGATCTCAATATGGCAGAGTCAATTTATTACACTAGAGTATTTCTTTTTTATTTTAATCTTAAATGCTGTATTTTGAGATAATTATAGATTCCCCATGCAGTTGTACTAAGTAATGGAGAGATCCTTTGTACCCTTTTCCGGTTGCCCCAGCAGTGACATCTTACAGCACGTGGTACAGCACCACGGCCTGGACGCCGGCATGGGCACAGTCAGACACAGCGCTTCCTTCACCACGGGATCTCTCGTGCCGTCGCAGTCTATACTCACTTCTCTCCTCGCCCTTCCCTCAGCCCTACCGGCCATTGGTCTGTTCTCCATTTCTAAAATTTTGTCTTTTCAAGAATGTTACATAAATGGAATCGCATAGTACGTAACCTTCTAGGATTGGCTTTTCTCACTAGGCATAATTTTCTGGAGATTCAACTTGCATGCATCAATAATTGGTTCTTTTTTCTTGTTGGGTAGTATTCTGTGGTGTGACTGGCCCGTGGTTGGTTTAACCATCATCAGTTGGGACAAGAGTTTCCAGTTTTGACTATTACAAATAAAACTGCTGTAAGCATTTGTTTACAGGTTTTTGTGTGAACCTAAGTTCACACTTTCCTGGGATAAATGCCCAGGAGTGCATTGTGGTTCATATGATCATTATATAGAGTATTTCTTTTTAAGACTAGAAGTGATTTCATGTGTGTGGAAGGGAAGACGAAGAGGACACCTACATTTTTGTGGGGTTTTTGCTTTAACTGGATTTGTTTAGGATCTTAAAACATGCACACTCTCATAAATCATTTGTAGCCAGATACCAAAAAACATTTTCTTATTTTTAGAGAAATACTTTTTAAAAAATTGCTTCTTTTTTGGGAGGAAACACTTTCTATGTAAAGGAATAAAGGTAGACATGCTGTAGAAAGATGTTGCAAAGCTGACAGGTTGCTTGGAGAAACTTGGGGGGAATTTCCCAAGTGTTAACAGAGACTTGACATTCACGTATATGTTATAATAATTTCTGAATTTATAGACACTTTAGCTTTTGTTGCTATCATCTTCCCTGCATTTTTTATTTATGGAATTAATTGATTATCTTTATAATTTGTGATCAGTGGTGTTGCATTTAATGCTTATTTAATTCAACTATATGTATTCAGTAGGAAAAAGAAAAAAAAAATTAAGTATTTTTCCCTAGTACATAGCTCCTAAAAACACAGCTATTTTACAGGGTGTTTAATGCAAAAAACAGCTCTGTTCCAAATCCTGGTGGAAATTATATTGTTAAATTGAACTTACTGAGACATAGGTATGTGTAAAATCGTGTATGCTATATTTTTGGGGAGACCCACTGAAAGAATATTCAATAATTTTTACTCTGATCTTCCATCATATATATGGACTTTAAAATTGATGGAAGATGTAGCTTCTATTTTTTTTTTTTTTTTTTTTTAAAGAAACATTGGATGGGTTAACTGGTTATAGTGATCCTTCTAATAAAAGCCAGTGTTATAAATCTTTAACTTTTCTGAGTGAAGCACCAGGCTCAGGGGACCCATTTTTCAATGCTACTAACTATAGTCTCGTCTTTAGCCCATTATGGTCATGACTGTAGTGATACAAATGACATAAGATAACACAAAATCCCTGCCCTTAAAAATGACCTGGGTGAAAGCTAGTATGCACATGTGGAATCTTTATGTACCAGGAGTCATTTATCCTTAAGCAGCTACTGAAGCCCCGCATTATCTAGCACTTCTAGGCACTGGGAACCTAACAGTAATCCAGCCAATCTGTTTGTTCTCGTAGCATGGTTCTCATAGTGTTTACCTTGGGCAGTGGAGACGGGGGAAAGCAAAAAGGAACAGATGGAGACCAGCGTGAGTACGCATTGCTAGAAATGAGAGCCTTCAGAACCCTGGAGAACGAGGAGAGCCGAAACTGCTGGAGCAGGCCTCACAGAGTGTGGCAGGCTGAGTTCCGAAGGCGCTTAGATATGATGACGAGGAGAACATCAGGTAGGAGGGGGGCGGTGCGCCGGGCTGTGGTTTGTTGGAAGTGGGGTGGAACCTGGCCTGGCTAGAATTTGCTGGGGTGTCGAAGGGGTATGTCACTGCCCCAAAGTATATTTAATAGCTTCCTGTGTTTTAGGAACTCATCAGAAATGAAGCGTGCTTTTTAAAAAAGAGTAATATTTGAATTTAAATAAGTGGGCTTGAATGAAAAAAACAAGTAGATGCTCATTCTCCTAAAACTAGGGCTTGGAGCTATCTTCTGGGTTATGATGTTCAATCTGTTTGTGCGTGGAAACCAAAATGTTATTTTCCTTCTTTTATGGTAAGTAAGGAATATGATATTTTATTCTTTTCTGGTATGTTAAATGCATAATCTTTAACACTATAATACTTTAAAATTTTAAGTTTATTTCAGGCTTAAAATAGCGAAAGAACTTAAAGTCCTTTTGGAAGAACTCCAAAATTAAAACAGCAAGATCACGTATAGATAAAAAGTTGCATAAAGAATACATTTGTAAGATTATATAGAGGGCTGATGGCTTTACTAAGAAACTATTTTGAGCCACCTAAGAAAATACAGGTATTTCTGTGCATTACTTTTTAAAAGTGTTCAAGACGGTAAAACAGCTAAGCGCCTTTTCAAATATGCATCTAATTTCAGGTGGTTAAAATAGGAAGCTATAATATGACCGAGGTCCCTTTAACTTGGGAACTTGGTAAAAGGAAGAGATGTAGGATCTCTTAGCGTTTCTTTAAATGTATATAAATCATAGATTCCATCGGAGTGGTTACGAAAGGCATTAAGATACTCAGGATTTTATACGTAGCGATGCTGATTCCAGCATCCCCAACCACACGGCATTGCCCGTGTGGACGCCAAAATGGATTGTGTGTTGTGAAAGGGCTACGTTAGGTCAGTGACTTGAGAGTTCCGAGTCTGTATAATGGCCGAGCGTTGTGGAATCATCTTGTAATACTGTTTATCTAGCAGTTAAAAAAAATAAAAGAAAAAGAAACGGTGTAATTTTAGACAGTTTAAAAAAATTTTTACAAATACTGCAAATCATAGGTTGGTTACCACTAGACTTCCTGACTCTGGCGTGATTGCTGTATTCTCTGTGTATTCTTTTAAAATACCAGGCACTTTATAATTTTGTCTGTAATTGTTTATATATATTTTCTCCACAAAATGTTTTTAGAACAACTTATTGCTAAACTACCCCAGCCCACTTGTCATCTTTAAACTTTATGCATGAATATACTACAGTGTCAGTTGCAAGACACACTGGTAGACTACTTAATTTTTTTCCAGGAATTTTCTTATTCAAAATACCTTTCAAACTTAATGCATAAAAATAGCAGGCCACTTCCACTCTCAGGCTCTTGAAGCTATTTTAGAAGACTTGTTTTTCATATGAAGAAAGTAAGTCCCAGGAAGATGAAATGACTTGCTAGTAAGTGATGATCAGATGCTTTTGACTCCAAAGCAAGTGCTGCCAACTTCAAGATGCATGTACCCAATTCAAGAAATTCAGTTTCCAGACCTTTGTATCGCAACCATATTCTTGGTAATAGTTTTTCTATATATGGTAGAAATTAACGTCTACTATCATCTGTACATGTCATAAACATTTTGGCACTGAATATGGGTATAAGTAGCAAGTTAAAGTATGTTAATCTCAGAACTGAATTGGAACCAGTAGAATTCATTATCATTTATGCATACCTTCTGTGTTTTAACATTGTGATAAATCCAGGGAATCAAATATGAATGAGACGTATTCCCTGAAAACAAGAGAGTGGGCACCAGGCTCAGGCCTGGAGAGAAAATGGTGGACAGCACGCAGGGTTTGCCCTTGTGGAGCTTGGAGCTTAGCATCGACTGTGGAGAGACGGGTATAAACAGGCCATTTCAGCACAGCGTGGTGAGGGGAAGGCCAGGTACTGTGGGACCACAGGGAAGCTGTCCATAACCAAGCCTGACAGAGGGTGGGCAAGGTCCGAGAAGGCTTCCTGGAGGAGAGGGGCATTGGGGCCGAGCCCTGAAGGAAGAGGGCTCCAGGCAGGGAGAGCAAAAACCGAAGGCAAGGCACAGCATGGTGCACTGGGGTCCGGGAGAAGTCTGAGAGGAGCAGAGATGGGAAAGAGATGAAAGTAAGCAGGGGCCCGGCTGTGGAGGGCGTTTATCTGCCTGACAGAGAATCGCCCTTTGTTTTACATTCACCTGATTCAGGTGATTTTCGGTGATGGCATGGGAGGTGCACCGGAGGCCAGCACGATTCGATGGTGAGAATCTAGTGAGGTGATTTTTGCCAACAGTAGTCCAGGTGAGAGAGCACAGTTGCCTGAGCTAAGAGAGTGGCCAGAGGAAGAGAGATGTCAGTGGCTCGATGGACACTAAGATGCTAGAAGTAAAAGGACTTGGCGACCTGTTGCATACGAGGGTGAAGGAAAAGCATGTCAGCGGCGGTTTCCAGAGAGCTTCCGCGATCAGGTGATTTGAGACAGGGGAAGCAGGACGAGAGGGGAGACGAGACGGTCCAGTGCGAGCCGGCCGAGCCATCGGTTTCAGGTGCTAGCAGGACATCCAGGGGCTTAGGAACTCACAGTCCAGTAGCAGGCAGGGAACACACTCTGTTCTTTCATACTGGTGTAAATTTTATTCTCTCAGAGGTTGGACTTCTCAAAACAATATGTTTTCTTTCTTTCTTTTTTTTAATTGCATGATATGGTTGTGATGGTCCTGTGAAAAGCAAGTCGTCAGAGGTGAGCTCTTCACTGTGATTGCACAGTGTTCGTTTTGAAAAAGATGGTGTTCAGAAGCAGGGAAAGTGAGGAGAGCGAGTGTTCCTCGTTGTCATTATCCCCTCAACGTGTCAATGAATTAAGTGTACTCAGTTTCAGTTGTGCATAGAAATTTAAAGATAGGGGCAAAAATTTCCAAGAAAAACACCGAAGAGTATTTTTGTTTTTAGAAACTTGATGAGTGTGGATTACAGCATATGCTTGAGTAATGAGTATGTAATGTTATCTGCATCTTATTACCTCAGACATCCATTCCACAAGTACTTACTCAGCACCTACCAGATGCTGGGTACTGCGCAGCGCTGCGCGTGGGGTGGAGGCCACCGTTCCGCGGGCATGATCCCTCCCCGACAGAGTTTACAGTCTAGCCGATGGGTTAGAAATCCCGAAGGGGGCTCTTTACGGCCCCTGACTCTTGCTTTCACTGGCCACCTCCCTTGGCGAACCCCCAAAGCCTCCTGCTCTCTGGGACCCTGCCTTTCGTGTCAGTGTTGCTTCCTTGCCTGAGCCTTGGTCTTGGATTTTCAGCTCTGTACTGGGGCAGCTCCTGACCCGCCCTGCTTTGTCTTCTCTACCCCAGCCCTGCTTCTTATTTGCCCGCCTCAACATTTTGTCTTGGTTCATGGCCTTGTTCTTGGCCCAGCTACCAAATCAGGTCAGTGTTACTCTCATAGCTTCTCTCAGATTCAGTCAGTTCCACCTTTTAAAACCTCTCAAATCTCACACTGTTCCCACTATAAGAGATACTTGGAGACATAGGGTTGAGGAGTCAGGCTCTTTGTACCTAGAAAGGCCACAGTCCACAGTGCAACAGTAAGTGTGGTTCATGGACTGTGGAAGACCACAGACTTTTAAAATAGACTTTATTTTTAGAGCAGTTTTAGGTCCACAGTAAAAGTGAGTGGAACATACAGAGCTTTCCATGTCCCCACGCCCACACATGCACAGCCTCCCGCAGATCAACATCCCCCAGCAGATGGCACATTGCTCCAACTGCTGCACCTACAGTGCCGCGACATCATCGCCCAGAGTCCATAGTTTGCATCAGGGTTCACCCCAAGTGTTGTTCATTCTATGGGTTTGGACAATTGTTTAATGACATTTACCCACTGTTATAGTACCGTAAAGAATAGTTTCACTGCTCTAAAAATCCTCCGTGCTCTATTCATCCTCCTCTTCCCACTAACCCCTGGCAGCCACGGATCTTTTGTCTCCATAGTTTTGCCTTTTCCAAAATGTCACATAATTGGAATCATATAGCATCTAGCTTTTTCATATCAGATTCTTTCACAGGAATATGCATTTAAGATTCCTCCATGTCTTTTTCATGGCTCGATAGCTCATTTCTGTTTGGGGTTGAATACTGTTCCATTGTCTGGATGTGCCACAGTTTATCCATTCACCTAATGAAGGCCATCTTGGTTGCTTCAGAGTTTTGGCAATTATAAATATAGCTGCTATTAACGGGTCTTTGCATGGATAAAAGTTTTAAATGCATTTGGGCAAAAACCAAGGAGCATGATCACTAAGCCGTATAGACTTTGTTCACAATTCAATATATATAATTACTTATTTCTTTCTTTCTCCTCGTCAGTTGTTCAGAAAGGTGTTAGAATCTCCCACTGTGGTTATGGATTTATCACATAAGCATACATAAGCTTGTATGTGTGTGTATACACACACACACACACGCACACACACACACACACACACACAGAGGCATCCATAATCAAATACGTCATTCCTCTTATTATTTTGAACAAACTGTCAGAGCAATTAAAAAGAAAAAATTATTTTACCTTCACTTACTCCTTTTCCTGTGTTTATCTTTTATATAAATCTGAGTTTCTGGACTGCATCATTTTTCTTACAGAACGTCTTTTAACATTTCTTGCAAGACAGGTCTACTATCAACAAAGTCTCAATTTTTGTTTTTCTAAGAAAGTCTTCACTTCTCCACTTTTGAAGGATAATTTTTTAGGAAACAGAAGACTAGATTGATGAGTTTTTTCTCTCCTAAGTATTTCACTCCACTCTCTCCTGTTTGCATGATTCCGAAAAGTCAGATGTCATTCTTACCTTTGTTCCTCTCTAAGTAAAGTGTTTTTCTTCTTCTTTTTTTTTTTTTTCCAGGACTTTATCTTTGCTTTTCTGCAATTTAAATATGACATGCCTCCATGTAGGGTTTTTTTCCCCACCTTGGCATGTGTCCTGTTCTTGTTCTCAGTTTACTGGATCTGTGGTTTGGTTATCTAACATTAATTACTGCTCCAAAGGTTTTTTCTGTTCCTTGTACTTCCGGAATGCTCATTATGCACACGTGCACCGTGTGTAGTTATCCCACAGCTCTTGGATATCCTATTCTGTTTTCCTCAGTCGTTTTTCAGCTGTAGAGGTTTCTACTGAGACATCCTCAAGCTCAGAGATTCTTTCCTCAGCCGTGTCCAGTCTACTAATAAGCCTATCAAAGGCATTCTTAATTTGTTACGGTGCTTTTTTTATCTCTCGCATTTCTTTTTTGATTCTTAGAATTTCCATCTCTCTGCTTACATTACCTATTAGTTCTTGGATGCTGTCTACTTTAGCCATTAGAGTTCTTATCACATTAATCAAAGTTGATTTAAATTCCTGGTCTAAGATTTTCAACATCTCTGTCCATATCTGAATCCGGTTCCGAAGCTTTGTCTCTTCAAACTGCTTTTTGCCTTTTAGTTTTATTTCGTTTGCCTAGTAATTTTTTTCTTGGTATCCAGACATGGCGTACTGTGTAAAAGGAACTGTCGTAAATAGGCCTTGGTAACGTGGTGATGGGGCATGGTGGGCGGGGAGGTGTCAGTAGCCCTGTGATCAGGTCTCAGTCTCTTAGTGGGCCTGTGCCTCTTGCCTGAACTTCAGAAGTGCTTCTCAGTCACCCAGCCCCCGTAGGTGGGACAGGATGCCTAGAGTGGGCTGGAGCTGCATATTTCCCTTCCTCTGCGTGGAAGGCTAGAGCCGGCTGGAAGTGGGTATTTTCTCTCCGGTCAGTTAGGCTCTAATAAAACCCCAGCAGATTAGGCTCTGTTCAAATAGTTTCTCCCGAGAGTATATCTCGTTAAGGAGAACAGAATGCTCTGGCACTCTTCACAGTGATTCCTTTACCCCTCCTCCTGCTGGAACCTCAGAAACGCGAGGGGATTTTTCTCTGATAATCACTGTGAGAAGCTGGTTGACTCCAGGAGAGAAAACTCACAAAAGTGTGGGGAACTCCCTGTGACAGCACCTCCCGAGTTTCTGACTCTCTGAGCCTCCAGCAATCTGTGAGTTACGTTTAGTTTCTCCTGCCCCAGCCCTGGGCCCCGGGCCCCATGAGGTAAGTCGATTCTCTGGATTCACCTGTCTCTCCAGTTTGCGGGGCAGCGGTTTGTTTGCCCTGCGACCTCATTTCTCTTACAGACCTAAGAAGATTTGTTGATTTTTCAGTTTGTTCAGCCTTTTACTTGTCACTAGCGTGGAGTGATGACTTCCACACGCTCCTTACGTGTCAGACCAGAAACTGGACGTCCACAAACTTTTTTTATCAGTCCCTTTCAAGATAAGTATCAAAAATAAGAACGCATTTAGAAACTCGTAAAGCAGTTTGACATTGCCATGATATCCAGGTACACGCCTTTGTATTTTATAAAAATATTGGTCTATAGAAGATTAGAATTTAGAAACAAAACAACAATTGGTCCTTCACTGCAGATGGATGGAGAAGCATCCATCTAGGATGCTAGGAGGCAGTCAAGAAAATGGTGATTTGGGGTGGGAACAATACCATTTGTGCAGTTGTCCAGACAGTGCTCTGAGTTCCCGGGAAAAAGGGTCAAACGGCCTGGAGTGCGTAGGGAAGCATGATGAGGGGTCTTCAGACTACACCTGAGGGGGAGGGCACCGCAGCGCCTGGGAGGGCACAGACACCTCCCACCCCCTCTGCCTCACCCCAGCCATCAGAATGATCTTCCCAAAATGGAGATCGGATCATGTCATAGCCTCACGGAAATTCTTTAGAGACACCCTCCTGCCTAACACCTCAACCTGTCAGCGCGGTCCACAGGGCCCCTCCCCACCTCACAGCGGACTCCCCCAGCTGCATGTCCTACCGCTCCAGCTCACGCAGCCTGCTCTCAGCAGCTGGCTTTCCGAGGGTTCACCCCAGTGTGCGCGGCCACCTCCGTCCCTGTTCATCTCCTGCCTCTTCTGTTTAGAAGGCCCTCCCTCCTCTCACCCCTTCTGGTGAAATCCCACATCCTTTAATATCCTCTTCGAGGCTTTCCTGTACTTGACGTCAAGTGCACAGGTAGGGCAGGCCTCGGTGCTCATCAGTGTTGAGTGAGTGTGAAGCTGGGAAGTGAACTTGAATTTAGTCACATCTCTGATAACTTGTGTCTTCACTGGGCATCTCACAACTGGAAAACGGGGTGCATTTTAGGCCAGTAGTTGGGAAGAATTACCAGATAACAGCGAAACCGGTATCTGGACAGCTCAGGGTTGGGGGAGAGCGAGGTCGGGGCCCATGGGGCAGAGGCAGAGTCCTAGGATTTTTGTGCTTCTCAGAGAGACCTGCTAAAGCAGAGCTTGGTGGACTTCTCCGCAAAGCCAAATGGTGAATATTTTAGGCTTTGTGGGCCAGACGTTGTCTGTTACAACTATTTTGTCATTGCAACGCAAAAGCAGCCTTAGACAAGTGGGTGTGGCTGTGTTCCAATGACACTTTTATAAAAGTGTTCCAATAACATTTTGAAAACAGGCTGCAGGCCGGATTTAGCCCACAGGCTGCAGTTTGCCAAACACTGTTCAAAAGGTAGAGAATGCACCCCTTCTTCTGCCCTGTCTCTAAATAGCCTTTCAGAGGCCTTGCTAAGTTTACCTTTAGAGTTTCTAAATCCCTGGATTTTTTCCCTCTAACATAGCATAAACACTGAGTAATCTGCCCCTACTTGCCAATCAGTTGCAGAGGCCTGAAACCTGGAGTGAAAGATGCATGGCACGCACTGAACATGGTGTAAGTGTTTGTAAAATTAATCCCTAACCCAGGTCTTTATGAGATAGACAGATGAGATTCTTATATGAAACTTCGAGGACTAAAACCTTGCCATAAAGTGAATTTGTGCTGTCAGCGGTGTCTGCCTGTGTTTTGGTGGGCTGTGTGAATTTGGGATGTGGAGAGTTAAGCTTTTCTTAAAGGAGTAGGGCCCAGGCCCTCACCAGAGATACCAGTGTCCATGGTCTGGTGTACTGTCTAGGGGTCACACCCAGGGCAGACTGGCAAAGGTGATTAACACAGAGTGGTTGACAGAGTGGCAATGCATAATTTAAACCAGTAGACATTAAAGGCAAAAAGGCCTGCTTCTGTGGTCATATACTCTATAAAATGCCCAAACCGAATAGCCATGTAAATTAAAATCTAAATGGGATTACTAAAACCCTGACGTAACCAGCACCAGGGAAGGAGGTGAAGAAGACTTGCTAATAATACACGTAGCCTTTGTCACCTTCCTCTGCTCCAAAGGGCTCCATGGAGGTCACTCTGCCACCCTATTTCTCCAAGCCACAAATGAGAACATCTTTTGTCTCTCTGACTAACTGGGACCACCTAGGAGTGAGGCTAGTGCCGGGGGAGCTGTGAGGCTGGGCTTCTGACTTTGTCCTTGTCATCTCTTGGTGCTATTTTGAGTGTCTTCAGATGAGCCACGATGTCCTCTGTAAGCTGACCGGAACTAGACGTTACTTACCCAGCAGCTTTCGCCCCAGATGCAACAGTCAGCTTGTGCTTTATAGCTATCCGTGAAGGGCTTTCCTTTAAAATCTCAAACTCTTTCTCGCCCCTTTTCCTCACGTCTTACATTTCTAAACACCAGTGCGCCCAAAAAGCTAGTGATATTCCTGATGTCCCCCGTCTTTATTTACATGACATCCAGATGCCTTGTAAATTGTACAGTTCAACAATTTGAGTACCTACTATGTCTTTATGATATGAAATCAAATAAGAATGGTGTAGGTTATTACTTAATCATCACACAGATGCATAAGCTAGGTTTGTCTTCCTGTAGCCTCTTCTCATGAGTGTAGTATATTCTTTAGATTTTATCAAAAGTGTATAAATTAGCAGTTTTATACCTCTTTTCTCACCATTTACCTTTGGACATTTAGGTTTTCATTTTGAAGGTCCATTTTGAATAAATTTGTTGCCAGTTTTGAAGAGGACTAGTTTAAGTTTATTCTAATGTTATATACTTTTATACTCGAATTATTTACTATGGGTTTGTTTATTGACCTATTTTGTCACTTTATGACATATGTATTTTCAGTGGAGATGTGTAGGCTAAGCTATATTTATTTATGTCACATTATGGTACATTAACCACAAAACTATCTACCACGATAATCTGGAATCCTCAGGGAGTGGGCTATTTAAGATAGCCAAGTTTTTAAGAATTAGCATTAACTGTTTGTGATAGAAACCTTCTAAAAAAAGGATCATACCTTTTCCTCTTACCTGGAAAACTGTAGAGTCTCGTTGAACTTTGATCATAACTCATGGTCACCAGTGAGAATTGCACTGTATAGTTCAGCTCTCATTAAAGGACTTGGGTGTTTTGTTTTAGTTTAGTTTTTGATTTTTAATTCTCATTGGCATTTCCTAAAACAGTTCTGTTTCTTCAGTTGCTATCAACCATATCCTCACTGCACTACCTGTAGCCCTCCCTCTGCCCTTCCAACTGCTGTTATGTGTCTGTGGCCTTGGAGACCAGGTGAGGACATTGGCAGGCAGGCAGGCGTGAGAAAGGGCTCCCCACCGCCCAGGAACGACCTGGGAAGGGGCAGCTGTGTACCAGCCTGGGAGCAAATCTTGTCTCCCTGAAAATCCTTGTTCTCTCTGCGTCTTAGCCAGACTGCGTGATCTGAGGGAGGTCTGCTTGACGACTCGCCTCAACTCGCTCTTACTTCACAGAGCTCTGCAGATGCTCATTCCGCCCGGGATAGGGAGCCTGGGCCTTGTGTCTGGGAAATGAGGCAAGTAGTTGAACATTCCTTCACTCACACACACACACACACACACACACACACACACACACACACACACACACAAAACCAGGTTGAAAACAGACCTCGTTTTAAGTTCATAGTTTATGAAATGCTGCCTATATTGTGATAATATCCTGCAAATTTATCCTAGCGCTTCTTTTTTCCTTTTTTAAATAAATCGCTAGACATATATTCTTTTGGCTTGTAATTTATTGAGACTAAAGCTAAAACCTTAATTCTAAAAATAGTATCTCTGGCCCAAACCATGGAGTCCTTAATGTTTGTGATTCTAATTTTTTTCTTTTTTTAATGCACATTATTATGGATGAATTACACATTTTTTTCTATGGTAAGTTTTTTGTACGATAACACAATGAAAAATTATTGTTAAAGATGCTGGCAGGTGAATGTTAGACCAGAGCTTTGGCTAGCTTGCATTTCCGTGGTTCTTTGGCTTCTCCAGTGTTTTCATTGTATTTTCCTATTGGATCTTTAGAACAGCCCAGTAGTTTTATTGTCCCGCATGTCAGAACCAGGAGACCAGCGGTGCAGAGGTATCCAGGGACTTCCCCAGGTCACCCGTTGTTAGTGTTCTCGGGATCGGGCTCACATCCTCTGCTTCTAAGACCAGTGGGTCTCCCCACTAACTCCCCAGTAGTCATTGGTATGTAATAGCGGAGACTTAGTTCTTGATGTGCAGACACATTAGTTCTCAATTTGCAGACTGGGGCTGCTAACTCCTCTGAGAACATGAAGTGTCAGATCTTGCAGAGAAAGAGGAGGGGAGTTCAACTGGCATGTGATCCCAAAGGGAAGAAGTCTGTGGTCCTCCGCTATCAGCGATCCCGTTACTGCCAGAGGCAGGTGGAGGTGGCCTGTTGGGATCAGAGGATCAACAGATCAGTTGGGTACCATAATTTGGGGACCCTCAGACCGAATATAGTGGCTTTAGTTATGTTGACCTTAAACAAAGAGCCAGATATTTCTCCAGCAAAATAGGATTATTTGGGAAAAACAAAGACTTGCAATTTGGGACATGCATTCTAATGGTGAACCACGCACAGGCCCAGTGAAACAAAGGAGAGCGATGCTCTTTTGTGGACTTGGGAGGGGCTGTTATAAACGAAGAGCCCATTGGCGGGAACTGAAAGTTTGAAGTGTAGGGATTTGTAATGCCCGAGTAATGGCAGCCTCCCATTGGCTGAGCTGTTACTGGGGAAAGAGGAATCTTTTCTCCCCCCGGCTGAGGTAGTAATGTGGTATCACTTCCTGTGTGTTATATGGAATGTAGTATTGCCTTCCTTGGAAATGCAGGGTACTTCCTGTTGAGCTCAGTAGTGCGTGTTGAGTGACATGTATGTGAGAGTTCTCCCGACTCCATTGCCAATGAGGTTTCTATTTATTAATTTTCACATTTCCTCCTTCTGATCAAGATCTTTCTCCAAAAAAAATGGATGATCGAGAGAGTTTTTTCTGGATTCAGTGGCCTTTTGTCCCTTGATGCCAGGAAGGTCCTCTCGTGGGTGCCATGTCCCATGGTAGAGGGGAGGTGCACAGACTGGAAACCTGCTGTGGTCCCGTCTGAGTAACAAGAAGGGGTGGGAGGGAGCGCTCGCAGGCATTGCCAATCTGAAGTCTACAGCTTGGAATAGTGAATCCTGCAGCTTGGAATAGTGAATCCTGCAAAGGCGAACTCAGAACCGAAATAATTAAACAAAAGCTTGGAGAAGACAATGCAGGAATAAAATATGAAGCAATTAAACAGCCTTGCTATCTCAGAAGAAATTATTTGGAACAAAACGTGTTATCAGTATTACAGCCTGTAGATTGTAAAATCAGAAGCTATGACTTTGGATAAAAATCTAGTCAGTGACTAGTGTCGACGTAAGAGAGACTGAATTTTAAACCTTCTCATTGGCCTGGTCTGAACAGCTTGGGAAAGCTGTCTCATCAGGTGTCATCTGCTTCAATTTGGGGAATTTGGGGAATTTGGGGAATTTGGGGAAATCCTCACTCTGAGGTCACCAGATGGCGTGCAGAGCCAGTCAGGCTCAGGGCTTACTTTAGGTGTCTCGCGTGACTCCAGGAGACTCTTGCCTGCAGTGGCGGCACAGCGTTGGTTGGCAGTACCTGATAAGGGCCTTGCCAGCGCAGTTGGGAGGAGCCCTTCTGGAGGTGCCTTTTCCAACAGACAAAATCCCCAGCTTGCTTAAGGTCTTCAAGCCCTGAGGGCCCCATGGAGAGGTCGCTCTGCCAGAACACGGGGAATCTTGGTAGAAGCAGTTCGGCCTTAACAGGACTGAAGTATATGTCCTTTTATCAGCTATAGATCAAAAGAGGTAGGGGCCGGGGCATTGGGCACCCTGGGACTTTCTCAAGGATGAGAGTTTGAATTCTGAAGCGGGTGGAGCTGAGGTTTAGGAGAACCAACGGCAATGCTCTTGGCTAAGGTATTTGGAGAGTATCTACAGATTTTGTCAGTTGAATCTTTATAACGCCTTTAGTGTGTCTGGCTAACCCTGAGGAATGAGGGTGGTAAATGCAGTGAAAGTGTCATAACTGGTCGAGAAGCACAGACTTGTCCAAGTACCTGATGGGTCGAATGGGTTTCCTGGTCACTGTGGAGTCAGCAATGGCTGGCCAGGCAGGGAGAGTCTTCTCCAAAAGGACTTTAGCCACAGAGCCAGTAGCCTGTCTACGAGAGAAAGCTGCAGTCTGGTGAGAGAACATACAGACCAGGACTAAAACATATTTGCCCACGGGATGGGGGCAACTATATGAAATCCATTTGCCAAACCTCGAGTGGTCATTAGGCCATTAAAATGTCCCCCCAGCGGTGCTGATGCGTGAGGGCTTTCATTTCGTCAGTGGACTGGTTTGATGCAGGTGTCGTAGTTAGGGTGGAAGTTGGAGTCGTGGGTAGCACTGTGGGGTAGGGCTGTTGTTTGGCCCGAACCAGAGCTTTTTCTTTTAGCAAACCGACGACTGCTGGATTTCCAATCCTGTTCTTCCTTTTCTGAGGCCAATCGTTGGGCTTCTCTCGCCAGGTGTTCTAAGTTACCATTTGGGGAAATATCCCTCTGGACCGTGACAGAGGTGTGACTACTGTGGGTTCCTTCGAGGGCAGCATTCCTCCACGATGTGTCAGCAGGGCGATTTCCCTTCGGTTCCAGACAGTCAAATTTAGGATGCTCCGGGATCTTAATAATAGCTGAGCAGCAGGTAAAAGTCTGGCATCTGATCGTTCCCGAATATACGGGCCCTTTTACATGTTGTTTCCACTGGCATTAAGGAAGCCGCATCGCACCCACAGCATTCCAGAATCATGAGCTGCTCCAGAAGCATATATGCTGTCAGTGTAAATGTTGGCAATTTTGCCTTTGGCCAGGGTGCACGTCTATGTGAGTGCGTATGATTCTGGCTCACAGTAGCCAAAGGCAAAGGTGCCAATTTAATTACATCAAAGGGGGTTTATATTGCATATTCAGCACAACATTTGCCGTTGTCACCTTTTAAGTAAGAACCATCAGTGAACCATGAGAAGTCAGCATTACACAAAGGAGTTTCCTGCACATCATCACGAGGGGTCAATCAGGAGGTGATCCATCAGTGTTAAGATCTGGGAGGGGCTTTGTCAGTGACGGAAGGGAGAAGAGAGGCAGGGTTAAAATTACTACAACGTGAAAGAGTTACGTGAGGAGCAGTTAACGAAAAGATTTCAGGGCAGGGGAGGTGGCTGACTGAACCATGTTGAATGTGACGAGAATTCAGAGCCTCTCTCTACTGCATGGGGTACAAAGATGGTTCACGGGGACCCCACCAATTTCCTTGGTGACTTTAACCAAAGGGCAGTGGCAGTGCTGGCTCCAAGGCAAGGGAATTGTCCCTGTGCCACAAGATCCCACTGCTGGCTAAAATACCCTGTGGTTCGATGGCGGTCCCCATGCTTTTGGGTGAGTACCCCAAGGGCGTTCCCTTTTTATATACAGAAAGGAAAAAGGGAATCTGACAATTGGGATACCCTAAGGCAGAGGATTCATTAAACTCTCCTTTAGGGCTTTAAAGGCTGTGTCATCCTGTTCGTCCCATAAAACTGGGTCAGGGGTTTTCATTCTTTAGTAAAACATAAGGTTTGGCCATAAGGGATCCAATTTCAGCAATATCCAACTAGCCTGTGAAAACCTTGCAGATGACGCTTACTTTAGGGTTTGGGGAAACTTAGAATACCTGAGGCCTGTCTGGATCTACGTGCAGCCCTGTTCTGATATTAGAGGCACCAAATGTCGAGCTTGGGTTTGGGCAGACAGCAGTTTTTCCTTGGCAACCTTATGTTCCTTAAAGGCAAAAAGCTTTAACATATGGACTCGGGACAAGCAAAGAAGCAAGTCATGGACATATTGCAATAAAGTAGGACCCTTAGGGAACTTCATGTCATCCAGATCAGCCTTCAGGATTTGTGAGAAGTAAGAGGGGCTCTTGGTAAACCCCGAGGCATTGCCATCCAGGTGAATTGTTTTCCTCCCCAAGTGAAGACAAGGTATTGGCTGCCTTCACCAACCTGCATGCTAAAGAATGCACCACACAAGTCAGTTACACTAAAGGACCTGCTTGCTGTTGGGATGGATGTTAGTGGCCGTTAGGAACAACAGAGTGTCAGGATGGCAGTGTTGTTCATTGCTCAGAGGTCCTGGATGAACCTCTCCCCTTGGCCCTTGGGTTTTCTCACAGGTAAAATGGAAGTGGAATAGGGACTCGTCCAAAGGATAATGAGGCCCTGAGTCTTGTAATCGTTGGGCTTTATACCTTGAAGGGTTTCTTTGCTTATAGGGTATTGATTGTGATTGGGAAGGGGTTTCGAGGTATCTGTTTGAATCTTAATAGGAGGCACACTGGATTCTGCCAATATCAATTGAAGATTTTGCCCATAAAGAGGATGAATCCCAGATTCATTTATAATGCCGTCAGACATGGAGCAGTCATTTGATTCACTGATTGACTATTTTGATGGCTACTTTCAAATTCTAGAAGTATTTCCCTCTTTTGGGAGAAACAGTTTTAGCGTGATATTTTTCTAAGAAGTCTCGGCCTGATAAACGAATGGGGCGGGGGAACTACGGAGAACAGAGTGTCTCTCAAAGGGCTCAGACAAATAGGGCTAGTTTCAGAGAAAGGGCTTTGTCGAGGCTTCCTAGAGAGCACCACCTCGTGAACTGCTTTCGTCCTCTGAGGCCGGGGCTGCTTCACAGCCGCGGGGTTGAGCATCACAAGTGTGGCTCTCGCGTCAACATGGGCAGTGGTTTCTCCAAGCCAGTTTGGAGGGAGAGCGGGGAAGAGCCCCACAGCTCCTCGGAGCCCTGTCATGAGGACGGTGTCGGAAGGCCGGAGTCACTTGAAGTGCTTAAGTTTGTGAGAATCACTTTCCCGTGTCCTGGCTCTTTGCAAATAATAGCAGAAACTAGGCGGTTTGGGTTTTGTATGGAGACCTTCATTTGCCAGAGTCTAAATTAAGAATTTTAGCTTTTTTTTTCTTCAGGTGACTCACCTAGGGTATAAGCAAGCTGATTTGCCAAATTGACCAAATCTAGAAGGGATGTGGTTTCCTGTTCCATCCTTTTAACTAAAAGAGAAAGATCTTCTTTCAGACCATTCATAAACATAGGTTTGAAGGTACTTGAGTGGCAGCAACATCTGAAAGAAGACCAGAATTTTCTCTGAAAACAATCTGAAGCCAGTTACAGTAGTCATGAACAGGTTCATCAGACTTTTGTGAATGATCCCAAATTTTGTTCCGATCAGCAGACTTTGGGTAAGCCCTAGGAACTGGCCAAAGAAGTTGCTTAGCAGTTGCCCAAGCCCGATACATATAAGTCAGCGGGCGGGTCTCTTGGCTGGAATCCTAGAGACCTTTCGAGATTTTCCCAATTGGCAGTTTTCACCCAATGCTTAGTCAGGCCTTCACCAACAAGCATATAAACTAAGTAATATAAGCCAGAGAAATCAAGTTGATAAATTCGAATGACTGTATTGAATTCCTTAGCAAATCTGTGGGGATCCTCAGTTTTTTGGGAAAATCTTTGCCTGTGGTGTGCGATTTAGGTTTAGTCCAAGAAATCTAAGAAATTAGGGCTTTAGCCCTTTGATCCTCAGAAGGCTTAATTTCACAGGGAAAGATTCTGATAAATTCGGAGGAGCAAGGAGTGGAGAGGGGTCCAGTGGAGGAGGAGGATGGCCCCGGAGGCAGAGCCTGAGACAGGTCCCAGGAGAGAAGAGCATGAGGTTTTAGGATCTGTTTTGTCTTTTTTTTTTTGCCTCAGTTAATCTTAAAAATTTTCTTTTGCAAAGAGGCAATTTCAGACTCTCGGTAATGTGTGAAGTAGCCTCAATCGAAATAGGCATTCCATTCAGTTTTGACAATTTCAGAGCTGTGGTTATCCAGTTCAGTTTTAAGAAAAGTAAGTTTGGAGAGTTCAAAAGTCCCCCATAATGGCTATTGGTATTCTAAATTACTTTTGGTCAAATTGATCCGTTTAGTCAGAAATGAGCATGGGGAAAAGCAATTTCTAAACAAAATCAACCGGGGTCCATGAAGGGTGCCCTCAAAGTATTTAGGTAGCTGGGCTCCCATTTTCCAGCAGCTTCTTCATTAGAGCAAAAGCCGAAACAGCCTGCAGGCCAAGTACCAGCAGAATTTTCCTGGGAGCAGCTGGATGTCAAAAAGTCAGCCTGAAGGCTGAACAGCAGAAGCTGTTCCAGGAGGAACAGTTTAGTTCCAGAAGGAATCGGACCCACGGCCGAATGGCACAGCCCCAGTGGAGCAGCCCGATTTCCAGAGTCAGGCCGAAGTGCCAGCTGAGTACTTGTGCACAAACCAAGGCCTTAACCAGGAAAGGACAAAGCCTTGAATTAGATCCCGAGTAGAACCTGGGGAGCTTCAAAACACGGGTGAGCAGGAGCTGGGATCCAGGAGAAGGACTCACCCTCAGACTCCGGTGATGGTAAGGAAGCCGTGAGCTCAGTGGGCTCTGTGGTGACTGCACCAGGTCGCTTGCCAGCCTCGGAGCTGAGGATCTTCTCTGGATCCCTGTATGAGCCAACACATAACATTGACCTTAAAACAAATAGCCAGATATTTCTCAAGCAAAATGGTCTTATTTAGAAACAACAAAGAGCTGCAGTTCGAGGCATAAGGTCTAATGGTGAACCATGCACAGGTCCAGTGAAACCAAGGAGAATGATGCTCTTTTTGGACTTGGGAGGAGGGGCTGCTGTAGACGAAGAGCCCACTGGAGGGAACTGCAGGTTTGAAGGACAGTGGTTTGTCATTGCCTGAGTTACGGCAGCCTCCCACTGGCTGAGCTGGGACTGGGCAAGGAGAAATCTTTTCTTCCCCTTGCTGAGGTAGAAAAGCTGCATCGCTTCCTGTGCGAGACGCAGGTACTTCCTGTTGGGCTCAGTAGTGTGTGTCGAGTGGAGTGACATGTTTGAGAGAGTTCCTTCTTTTAGCCTCCTGACTCTATTTTAAACGAGGTCTCTGTTAATTAATTATCGGTTATTGCATGTATAATTTAGCAGTTTTTTACAGAAGCAAGTATTGTTTTTGCTCAGTTGTGTTTTGGCCCTTTATCAGTAGTCAGCTAATGAAATTATTTTTCAAAACTGAGTACTTAAATGTTTTGGTATAAATTATGATCCATTTCTTAATATCTTAAAACAATATCTGTAGCATTCATATCCAAAACATAAGTTTCCTTTGTTGTTACTTTTAGGTTTTAGAATATAACTGTTCTTTGAGATGGGAAAAAATAGTCTGGCAAAAATAATTTGCTTAACTAGATTTAATATCCTTTACAAGTTTTATGGCCTTTTGTTTTAAGAATTTTTGTTAATAGGCTATGTCAAGCCAATGATTTTGAAGGTCTGTTAAGATGTTACATTCCATATAGAATAACATTTAAATAAACCTTAAACAAACTTATACTTTTGTTTTTATTTATGTGCGTGTGTGTATTTGCTAATGGACTGAAGATTGCTTCCTGAGAAGTCAACCCAACCCCCAAATTCTAAAATGTTCTCATTATTTAGTTTGGTTTTTAAAAAATCAGAAATTTAGGCAGATCTATTTATATTAACAGACTGGTAGTATCAAGTTAATCTTATAATTAAAATTCATTTCTCAAAGATGTTACTAAAATCTTAGAAATATTAAAACTCTAAACCCTAAAAATTGCTATGGAGATAATTAAATTTTCCCTATTATTTTTGTCCTTCTCTCCCAGAGTGATTAATTTCACTTCCTGTGTCTTATTCCATGAGCCATAATGCTTTTGCCGAGATTCCTAATTCAGTGAAACCTGTTTAGGGGATCATCTCTGTTAGGAAGACAGCTGCCGAAAAGGCATCCACTTTCCGAGCATGGATTTTAGATTATGACCAATCAAGACGCGGAGCTGTTAAGAACACCTGTCAGAGACGTTTTTCTACAAGGAGATGGTCTCTTTAATCAGATTTCATCGCACTTCAGAAAAAGGTTCATTTTTAAATGTGAGTAAAATAGCATCTGCTTTTATGATTCATCTTCACCATACTTTTAAAGGGGAAAAACCCATTTAGAGCTTATTTATGACATTGTTCTATGGTAAAGGGAGAAATTACAACAGTGTTTCAAAAGGAAGGGTTTTCCCAGATGTTTGATTTGTAACTTTCTGTCCTGGAAGAAGCCTAAAACTTTATTTTTGAACTTTTTTACATGAGTGGAATTAATGATAGGAATTCTTACGGCAAACTTTTAAAATGTTTAAGTTGCGAATACACGTAATGAATGAAACCTGGTCAGTTTTCCTCTGTTGAAATTCGTTTCATTTATCTGTGAACAGTATTATTGATATTGACTGGTGTTTAGAGAAACTACACTCGCCTTTCAACTCTGCTCTAATTAGAGGCGCAGTTAAGTACATGAAACACAGGTACTTTCTCACATCTGCAGACTGTATCGAGGGTAACTCTTAGAGGACAAACTTCATTTCGCAAACCGTAATTTAATGGTATAACTGTGCAGGCCGGAATATCCGTTAATTTTCAAAACATTTTATTCTACACCAATTAGCTCAGGTCCTGGAGGGCAAAATGACAAGAGGTTACTCGTTCACTATGTATTTAATTAATTGAAAAATGCTCAGATTGCTTTTACAGTTGTTATTAAAAAGTAGAATCAGTGTTGCCAGTGCTCGACCATAATTGGAACCCCAGGGAATTAAATATTTAGCATTAGTAATGTAACAGCACTTAGGACACAAATTTCTATTTTCGTAATGAAAGCTATACACCGTGAGTGCAAGCGGCTGAAACGACAGCTGTGACAAGTGAAACGGCCTGGGATATTTCAATAAGACACCTCATTGGACAGCAAGTCTTACCACATTACTCGTTCGTAAGAGATCTGCAAGTTTAATTCCCCATAGAAAGCCGTTACCCAAGTATTTAGATTTCTAATTGCACGCAGGATGAACAGTTGGGCAAATGTCTTGCCATAAGTGGCTGAAATGTATAGTGCTTTCTAAATAATCCTATATAAGTTCATGCCTTTGTCAATTTAAAAATAGCGGGACTGTCAGGGAATAAAGATCTTGTTTGTTTTAAGTTTAATTACGTTTTAAGCATAAATGCTTTCAGTGTTACAATGAGAAAAGTTGGATATTGGGCTCTAATGAGCTGCAGGGGTAGACGGCTGGAGACCCTAAGGGATTCCCTTCGTAAATTAACTGGATAAAAGTACTTGGTTAGGATACGGTTGATGGCTGAGCTGTTCTTAAAACCCAGTTATAGAGCTGTCTCTCACTCCTGTTTTCATTCTAAACAGCCCTGTAGAGACTTTCACAGCCGCCTGTTACAACTGTTCAGCTTGTCAAAATGTATTATATTACTCCACTAATAAATAGTATTAAAGGGTATTCGACTTCATTTCTCGTTTTCAGAGGGGATCAGGTTGATCAACACAACTGGCTTAGGTCGGCCTTATTTTAATTTGTTTATGTCATCTAAGCAGTATTGAAGTACGATGATTTGAATTTCGAACACATTTTTCTGGGAGATATAAAACTTACAAAATGTTATGGACAGTGAAAACAATTAATGGAGGCTATTTATTGTAGAAACTTTGTCCTTGAAAGATATATGACTGACATTTTTAGCCCACATTCAAAATATTTGAAAAACTATAGCTAAACTGCCATTTTTCAAGGGATAACTAGACTAATTTCTTTACCGATCATTCTTTCTTGAAAAAAAATATAGTTATAGAACAAATTGACTTTTTCATTTTCTTTTGCTTACCATTGTCTCTATGTCAGTTTTTTGGGAATTTATTCCAACAGATCATGATTTCTATTTTTTTAAAGTAATTTTAGAACAATACATGCTTATGTTAAAAGAAAAGAGGAAACTAGTTGTTTATTTGATAAACTCTCCCTTTTACCCTCCCAACCGTCACACTTCCCAACCCTTTGATCACCTTTGCGAACAATTCGATGACATATCAAACATTCACAATATTTTCTGTGCATGTTATACACATGCACATACAGATATATATTTGTGTGCATATGTTACGTTACCGTATTGAGAGAACATACTTTAGATATTTCTGTAGATGTCTGTAACTTGCTTTATTCCCCACGTAATTTATCAAAGACATCTTACTATATTGGTGCCCAGATCTTCCTCGTTCTTTTTAATAGGTAATTTTGCAGGTAAAAAATTAATTTATTGCCTACCGATGTCATTTCAAGTTATTTCCAGTTTTTTGTTGTGACGAATAATGTTACAAGGAACTCTGAGTGTGCCTAAGTGTGTGTGTGTACAGCATGTATGTGTGCATCTCTGTGCACGTGTCGTAATAAAAGATGGAACTAACATTTATTGGGTGATTACTCTATGCCAGGTATTATTTAAAGCACCACATATATTAAATCATCCCATCTTTGCAATAAAGAGTTAAGATGTATTCTAATCCCTACTTTACCTACAGGGACACTGAGGTACAGAGAGTTTAAGTCACTTGCGCACGTCCACGGGTGTGTCATCAGCCGAGCTCGGCCCCACATGGAGGAGTGGCGTAGCGGAGTTCTTAACCCACGCAGTGTGCCTGCACAGATACCTTTTTCTTGCAGTTTGCCTTTCCTGATTGAGTGTGAATGTGTGTTCCTATGTTTATTGCCATTACATTTCTTCTGAGAAGTGGCGTGTTCAGGTCTTCTGCTCATTTTCTTGTAGTGTTTTCTTCTTATCAAATTATAAAAGATCTCTATTGACTTTGTTATACTTTATCTAATATTTTTTCTGTTGCTTGTCTTTTTACATTGTTTTATTTTACTATTATCAAGTTTAGCTTTATGGATGGAAGCATAAAGAAGCTTTTCACCATTCCAACGTTGCAAGTATGTTTTCCTACATTTTCTTCTATTAATTTTGTTGTAAGTTTTAATCTTTAACCCATATGGGATTTATTTGGGTGTATGGTGTGAAAAAAGGTCAAACTTTATATTTCCAGTAATATCCACAGGTTCTTTTTTATAAATTGTTACTTTATTTCTCCATGGTTTAAAATATGACCTTTGTCCAATGCTATATTCCATCTATACTGGATTGCCAGTTCTTCAGAATATTCCATTTGCCTAATCTTGCAACATAACACTTTTTATAATTTTAACATAAATGTAAGTATGAATCTTTAAAATTTTGAAAATATCTATTAAAGACTCTTAATCTTACATTATAAAAGCAATACATATTTACGTTAACAAATACAAATAGTTTAGAAAGGTATAAAGTTGTGGTAAGGGGAGATGCCCACATCCTAATTTCCAGAACCTGTGAATGTGCCCCATTACCTGGCAAAGGGAAATGCAGGTTACAGATGGAATTAAAGTCACTAATCAGCTAACTTTAAAATTGTGAGAGATTATCCTGGATTATCCAGATGGGCCCAGTGTAATCGCAGAGTTTTTAAATGTGCAAGAGGCAGGCAGCAGAGTCTCAGAGTGATGGCACGTGAGACCGAGTCCTCTGAGCACAGCTGTCTGCTGGCTTTGCAGCGTGAGCCAAGGATCGCCACCACCACGGGACGCTGGACGAGGCAGGAAACAGATTTTCCTCTAGTGCTCCCAGGAAAGAACAAAGCTCTGCTGACACCTTGGTTTTTGCCCAGTGAGACCCAGTTTGGACTTCTGACCTCCAAAACTGTGAGAAAATAAATTTGTGTTGTTTATACTGCCAAGTTTGTGGTAATTTATTACAGCAGCAATAGAAAACTATTACAAAGGTGAAAAGTAAAAATTATTCTCCATCCTCTACTGCCCTGTCTAGTCCCCACCTTCCAGGTCCAGTCTCAACAGTTTATGACTCTGAACAGGCTCTGTTGTTGTGTTATTGTTGTTTCTTAGTGTGGGGAAGGAGGCCCTCTGCAGAACCGTGACTGCAGAAATTTTTATAGGATGTTTTGATATAGTATAGTATATTTAGACTTTGAAAAGCCAAGTCTCTTTTTTTACAAAAGAAATTTTAACCTCTTACATATTTGATTTTTCAGATGAGCCTTTGACTCAGTTTGCAAATTCCATTTTAAAATTCCTTGGAGATTTCTCTTGGGAATACACTGAACTTAAGATTAATCTGGGGAAGGGAATGAACATCTTTATGTGATATCTCAGAATAATAGCTGCTAAATATTTGTCGAATGGATGAATGTGTACTTTGTTTTGTTTTTGGAGAAGAGAAGGGAGTAAATATTTGATTATTTTCTGAATAGTTTGTATTTTCTTAAAATGATCCATTTCACTTAGATTTTCAATTTATCATTGTAAAGTTCTACATAATATTTTCATTTAAAAATCTTCCCCATATCTGTAATTATGTCACTTTCTTAAACTAATATGGTTTACTTTGATTTCTCCACTTTATTTCTTTTCAGACTTGCCAGAGTTTTATTTTATTAATTTTTGCATAAAAAAAGATTTTGGTTTAATTGTTATGTTCTTTTTTTCACTCGTTTGATTTTCCTTTCATCTTCATTCTTCCTTTTACTTAGTCTCACTTTATATGAGTGACTTTTGCTTGGATCTTGTGGCTAAATGCCTAGTTTGTTTATTTTTATAATCTCTCTTGATTTTTAATAAATATTTGTAGGCTATAAATTATCCTCTAGGTTCTGTTTTGGCTGTGTCTAGTAGTTAGTTGTATATATATTGCTTTCATTGTCTTTTATAACTGAATAGTCCATAATTTTACATTTTTATTGTTTCCTAACCAAGGAGTTATTGTGAAAAGAGAATTTAAAAAAAAAAAAAAAAAAGGTTGGTTCAGTCCCAGGTTTTGGCACCAAAAAAAAAAAAAAAAAATGCTTAGAGCAATTTTTTTGTTGTTTGGGAGCAGTTGCAGGTAAGGAAGAGAGAGCTATCCATTTATTTATTGTTCATTTCTCATTTGTTTGTTTTATATGTAGCTAAAGAACGGAGCCTATATGATTTCCACCTGGGGTAATATATTGA